TGTGTGTGTGTGTGTGTGTGTGTGTGTGTGTGTGTGTGTGTGGATGTGAGAGAGGGAAAAAACAAGTATACACACAAATATGTGAACTGGGAGTCACACAGGTTTCTATGACTCACTGCCAATTATTATATTTTTGTACAAGCTCTAGAAAAACGTTAAATGAATATGAAAATGCTTAAAGTGGGCTCTGACATCAGTGTGTCAGCATTTTGCTTCCAGGCAGCATTTTGGCAAATTTGCACATTCCCCGGGCGTCACATAGCGCCGTTCTGGCAGACGCCACCTGTGTTTCACCGTTAAGTGCAAGGTGTCTATCGGTGTCGGTGCGTCCGCAGCGATTCTGGCTGCTGAGAGATAACAGCTTTGCAGAGCTGCACAGTCTGCTTTAGGAGGTAGGAGGCAGCTTAGCAGACAGGAGACCCTGGATCGCAGCCCGTTTGTGTTTTGCACTTGGATTTTTTTCCACTGTGATGGTCTGGTTGCTCTCCTTACTTCTCTTTATTCCTCTCTACTGCAGAAGGTGGGTGATGCACACCATCAGGACAACGGGAAGCACCTGGTTTAGTTTTTTCTCTATTAAACTGCGGCTCCGATGTTCTGGAGCGCAGCACTTATCCACTCACACATCCTCACTACTGATGATACAGACTTCCTCACGTCATGGTTGTCTTTGCGTCATGTTTTTGCATTGGTTCATGAGATAACTCACTGTTATAACAACAATAACCATTAACAGGAAAAGTGCTGCTAGTTAATAATGAATAGGATTTTACAGCATCTTCAAATTTTTTATTTCCTCTTTCAACATTTGTCCTGCAATAAAACATATCTGAGGTCCATCAAAGGTCCAACATGTAAGGGGGATACTTGTTCCTTATACCCAGCTCTAAATCATTGTTTTGGTGTAATTTGGTTTCCATGGACCACATGTTGCCTTGACTCAAGTCAAATGTGTATGCCTCAGCTCAGCCACACGTCCAAATATCAGATGTGTTGTGGCCTTCAGGGCACATCTGAGTTTGCAGAGCACCCATCTAAAGTCCAGATCGTCTGGTCCACACAACACTCGTCAGTGCCCTAACTGAGGGAACGGTGCCAAAAGTCGCCCAGATTATGGCCCAACTGTGCCCGCTGTCTGCATGTAGAGCACACTCTTTTCTGCAAGTCATGTTTTTTGGCATTTACATTATAATAGTAATTTCAATTTAACTTATCGTGGCAATTTTTTAAGTATGGAAAATTTGATTGTTATCCCATGAAATACCAAAATTCTTTCCCTTCTAACAAAGCAGAGAATCGCTCTGCAGTGCGCTGATGCTCAGCACCAGCTTCATCGTGTTAGACCTCGGCATGCCTCTCTCTGTCTCCTCTCCACGTCCTTTTCTGTTTACGGGCTTATTATTTCTTATCTGCATGTGTGCTTATCTATAAGCAGACAGTGTTGCAACAAAGACAGTCATTCTCTCTAATCTACTCCTATATCTCTCCATCGGTCCACAATGCACGAGCATTCCTTGTTGCTGGATTTTCATCTGCTTTAAGAGGACATTCACTTTGTCAGTGATAAAACACACGCTAATGTCAGATCTGTCAGGATGGAAATAGAAAATCTGTCACGCAGAACCCGACAATGACAATTTTGTCTTTCATCTCTTCAACTCTGGCAGGGAGCAAAGACAAAAGTCTGTTAAACCAGAATAAAAGCACAGAGCGACGGGGCTGGCAGGACACGAGGAAGATGAGTGATGAAAATAACCATCGGAACAGAGACAGGAGACGGAGCACAGCGACAGTTTTAGATTACAACCAGGCCTAATGCACGGATTACTTTCCCCTCTATCCGTTTAGGGACAGATGGATTTCCGATCACATATTGCGACAGGAAGTGGCGAGAAGACAGATGGCCTAAAAGTACGAAAAAAGGCTACGAACTGATGGCTGGACAGAGAGGGTGGAGTGAGTGAAAAATCTGATTGGCTGACAGTGATGCAGATATGAGTGACAGCGAGCTCACAGTTACTGCTTGCAGCCTTTGCACTTTTGTACAGAAAGCCTTCACTGTGCTTTCAGAGCCAGGCACATCTCAGGAACATCGCACCTTAAAAATACATGAATCTGTGGGCAGCACAGGCCGAGGCTGGACACAAGTCAGTGTTCCCATTCAGAGGTCTTTGGTGCAATTCAGAAATCTGACTGGTTGAGAATATTTTTATTTTAATACAGGTCAGAATCAGTATCCTCCATTTCTCTGTTCTCACACAGCCGTGCAATAAGAAGTAGTAATTATTATTTGTTATCCTCAGATGAACATGTTTTATTTCTTTTATTGTGCATTATTTTTGCTATTGATCCCAGCAGCGGGAGTTTCTTTTTTCACAGCTGGTCCACTGAATTCATCCAGAAAATATTCACTTTCACCGATTTGAGTTGGAGATTTTGTGTGAACTGGGATGAACCCACGTTACAAAACCAGCTAAAGTAAAGTTAACCTGAGTCTCTCATTTATTTAGTTGGTTATAAACCCACAAAACAAGAAAAACTGTACTAGGTGTGGGAAAAATGAAGAGCAGATGTTTTTTAAGATTTGCAGCTGTGCAGCGTTCTGATTGGTTGATCAGCTACTTGTATTTCTTTCTTCAAAACAGAGATTTATCAAGCACCAACTGCTGCTGAAGGCCTCCCCACACCGTAGGCTGGGTTAGTTTTAGTTAACCTCCAAGAATAGTTCTTCACGAAAACAAAAACAACTGCAGCACTTTCAGATTCTGGGACAGCTTCAGAATACATGTGATAATAATGATGTTTGCCGAGATTAAGCAGCGACTGGATTCTTTCTAAAGATGTCGGGCTTTGGGGGACTCGGTCTGTTGCATTCCCTTTGTTCCTGACAACAAAGCGGCACGATGCACACGGATGCTCCGCGCTGCTTACCACATAGAGCTGCTTCCACAGTAAGGCCCATTCCTGCAGTGTTGACGTGACCTCGGTGACAATGGGGTCTTCGAGAGGCACCACAGTCTCATGTGGCCTGCAATAGAAAACAGACACACACACATTTAATTCACAGCTGCTGGGTTTGGACAAGCATCAGATGTCCATAACTGAAGCAGATTTAAGGACACACAGAGCAGCACGTCCACAGTACAAAGCCTTTACATGTGAAATTGTTAGCGCGCGTAAAAGTAAGAGAGACAATAAAAGCTTGGCCTGCTTTGTCACCAGAGGAACTTGGCGACTGTGTGGAGTTACGTGTGTCAGGTTTCTACACTAATGAATTAAAGTGAACTGACAGTTCAGTGAAGCAGAAATCCAAACACTAATCTTGTTAAAGCACAGAGAATCCACTTATACTGCCTGTACCAACAAAGCACACTTCATGCACAGGTGGAAACACAAAGCATGAGCTAACATATGAAATAAGGTAAACTGTCAAAGTCAAAGGCAGCTTTATTATCAAAAACAGGTGTACAGATCATGCACATTGATAAATCTGACAGTCGTCAGCATAACAGTGGAAGGATATCACATGCCTTCTAAGGATGGTTCCCACGGGCTGTAAATATAATGAAAAAAGCAGAGGCCCTAAAATTGAGCCCTGTGGGACCCCAAACTGAAGAGGAGCAGAAAAGGACTCGTGCCCTAAAAGGTTAACACTAACAGTTCTGTCAGAAAGATAAGAGCTAAACCAATTCAAAGCAGTACCACGAATGTCTGCAAGATGGTGTAAGCCACAGTAAATGTTGTGGTCTACAGTGTCAAAGGCAGGTGTTTGGTGAAGGAGGACCAGAACAACATGATCACTAGAATCGCAGGAAGGGAGGAAATCATTAAAACCTTTAAGACTGCTGACTCAGTGCTATGAAGGTTTTTAAAGCCTAATTGAAAGACCTCTAAGATGCCGTTCTCATTTTAAAAAATCCATCAACTGGGAATGTACAATTTTCTCTAAGATTTGAGACATAAAAGACAGCTTGGAGATGGCCTGTAGTTAGCCAATACAGTGTGGTCCAGGGCGGGTTTCTTATGCATGCTTAAAGTTAGCAGGGACTACACCAGATATTAATGTGTCATTAAGTTAAATAACACACATGAGTTATGACTGTTGGAGGAAATTATCTTGGAGAAGTATTTTCTTTTAGCCTCTTTGACCGTATCCTGATAGAGGCGCCAGCAGTCCTTAGGATTTGAAGAGACACCTGCAGTTTGTCCCTCTTCCATCTGCATTCAGCTCTATGACACTTCCTCATCACAGCCCAAGGCTCGGTCTTAGCCTTGGGCTGCCTGGTTTTTAATGGTGCCACAGAGTCCAGTATAGTAAGGCAAGAAGATTCAAACCAGGAATTGAGGTCCTCTGTGTCCAAGGGAGTGAGATCAGTGGGGACAGACAGCTGGCTAAAAGCAAAGGAGAACTGGACAGCAGTGGAAGGGTTAATGATCCAACAGCGGCGAACATGTGCGGTGGTTTCGTGAAAACAGCATCAGAAAAGGCAGCGTCAGATATTTCCACGTCTGACTCAGGTAGACTGTGTGACAAGACCAAGTCCGTGTTCGTGTGTGGGACCGGGTATGGACTGGACCAGATTAAAAGAGTCAGGCTTAAAAACCCTTCACCAGAGGTTTGTCTGGACAGCAGACATGGATATTAAAACCTCCCACAATAAAAACATGATCGTAGTTGGGCAAAGTTCCAGCTCGAAGTTCTGAAAGGTAATTTATGAAGTTCTTATTGTATTTAGAGGGACGATAAATAACAGCAAAGATCACTGAGTTAGAGTGATTAACTTCAAAACACGTGAGCTCAAAGCTGGAAGATGAAAACTCTAAAAATCACAGTTTACATTTAAAATCCTTTTTTTTTAAATCACCCGCTGTACCTCTTCCTCCCCTGATGTCCTCGGTGTGTTAAAATAGGAACAAGCCGCTGGTAAAAGTTCGGATAAAATACTGGACTCACGTGTTAAAGCCAAATCTCAGTGACGCACATAAAGTCCAGATTCCAGGAGGTAAATAACTCCTCCTTTGTTCACCAGCGGTCTGGCGTTTACCAGGCCAATCCTGACAGGAGCTGGGGCAGAGGTGTGAGGCTCAGCTGCATAGGGAGCCCGACACAGGGGCCTGAGATCGCAGAGGTTCGCCTGGCGCACATTGAGCCGAGGAGGACAGGGGTCACGAAGGAGCGTCATCCAGGCCGACCACGGGGATGAGGCAGGAATCCACAGGGTCCAGAAATCGCTGAAAGCTCCAGGAAATAATCGATGTATTCCTTGGACGGTTGAGGGACAATGCACCAAGGACAGGTTGAGTTTAATGAACCTGTCCTTTGAATGGGAGGACAATCCTCCTATGCATTGTCCTCCCATGCATAGGAGGACAACGCGCCTTCACCTCACCTCCCAGCAGCAAAGTGCAGCAGCATTTTGAAGCATGGATTACTGTTTCCAAATGTGGCCTGGATAAAATGGGTCTTACTTTTGCCAAGCGCCTTATACAGCACAGCTCAGTCTTTCTATCTGACATTCACTCAGGAGAAACTCGGGTTCAGTGTTCGGCCTCTTTGCAGTCCGGAGCAGCCGGGGATCGAACCACCGACCTTCCATCAGTAGATGACCTGCTCTACCTCCTGCTCACGTCTTCAGGTGGAACAAAGAAAAGCAGCTGAAGACAAAGACCTCGTTTCACCTAAGCACTTGTACATAGTTTTGAGCATCAGGGATTTCTTCACTAGAACTGAAAGCTGCGTCTCCAGCCTGCAGTCAAGAGCATTAAAGCAACACACACACTTTTGTTCTTCTTCTCATCCCACGCTACCTTTCTGCTCGCCCCTCCCTCACTCAGGGAAGCACTTCTTTCCTTCTTACCCCTCTGCTCACGTACCCCCCTTCCCTCCGTCGCATACAGTAACTGATTAATTAATAAAAGCCAGTGTGCCAGATTAGCTGATCTCCCAGCTGAGCCGTAGCTGGCGGCCGCCTGGTGATTTCACACACATTAGTTACACTTGTATCACAGACGCGTCTCCTCCTCTTCGCCTCTGTTCTACTTTTCACTCAGCCTAATCGCTCCCTCCTCCTGCTTCCCTGCCTCGTGTTCCTCCTCCTCTCTTTTCTGGCACATCTCCATCATCCATTTGCACTTTCTACTCTTCCTCCTCTTCACAGCTTCCTCTTCCTCTTCTGTATTGCCTTTCCTGTTACTTCCCCTTTTCTGCTTTCTCTCCTGCGTTTCTTCCCTCTTTGTGCTCTTTCTCCCTCTGCACCCACATCCCCACAGTCTTTGGTTTCTGTCTCCTAGCCTGACCTCTGTCTGTGTTTCTGTTGTTTGCAAATCTTTATCCATATCCTCTCTCACCGTGCCCGACAGCTAGTCTCCATCTGGTTATCTCTGCCTCGAGCTGCCAGAGTGTTTCTCCGTCAGTCTCAAGCCACTTATATTTTCATCTGCTGCCTCATAACAGCCTCTCTTTATCATTATTCTCTGTTATTCTCCATGCAGTTCATTCTTAAAAACACTCGCTGCCTCTGTTTTGAAACTCTTGAGAGAAGAAGAGATTTTTGGGGGAAATTCTTTTTGTCTTTCATCCTTTGGTTATATTCATACCCCACAGCTGTGTTTAAAACTTTACAGCGATTTAATATTCTGTATTCTCTGGGCTGCTTTAAACGACTCCAATCCAGCCTCTTATTTCTTAGTTTTTGTGCATTACAGAAAACATTTTCAATGATGCTTCCTGTGTACTGCATGACACATTAGCATGGCGAAGTGCGTCTCACTAAAAGATCGCAGGCTGTCAGAAGAGGCGTAGCAACATCAATGCCGGAGCCCCTCGTGGTTGTATCCTCAGTCCATTTCTCAACACCCTCTGCATAAATGACTGTATCAGCACTTCAGCAGCACTCCATCTCTCACTTTACGCAGTGGTGCACTTACAGTCTGTGACAGCTGAATGTCACTGGCACATCGAGCGCACACTGCTCCCATCTGAATCCACCTCCAATGAAGCAGTTTGACAGCTCCTGGCAGCTCGGACGTAGATAATAAACACGGCTTTAGCCAGCCTACTGTTTACACCTGCTGGCAGCAAACACAGCATCACACAAGAGCTGCTGGCCCCCGCCTTCTATCGCTGGTGCATCAAACCCCACCACATCCTGTAATCTGGCACATCCTGATGTTTTTACCCTGCTAACTGCGTCCAGCAAAAACAGGTTCGATGGAGCTTTTTCTGCTCCTGACCTCTCGGACCTCAACAACAGAGCCACTAAGTGCACTTTTAGCACTTACCGTAGTCCATAACACTCACCACCTCAGACCACAGCTGAACTTGGCTTTGGACCGGGCGTGTGTTTATATACGTTTTCTGTCAGCAGCTGAAAAACCCTGCTGAGCCGTGTGCATCAGTGTGTCGTCCTCAACACTCTACAAACTCCTCAGATGACCCTCAGATTCAAACCCAGAACGTTCATGCTATAAAAACACTGACGGCCCCGGTGCTACCCCTCAGCCTCCCTGTGGATGCACTAATAGGATGAATTTCAAAATCATTGAGCTGTTATGTTCACAAGATTTTCAAAAAACCTGACCTCTGACCTTGGCCTTGAGGTCACGTTCGCTGAGATTTAAACTCATTGCAGATTTTTAGTAGCTGCACCGTTATGAATGTGAAAATCCTATGTTACCTTGTTCTCGACTTATTGCGGACACCTGGCTGCCCAGCGGGGCGACGACAGTACCCCAGCAGCCTATGGCCGAGGGGTGAACGTCAGTTTTCATCTTGAAACAACTCTAATGTGGTTTCAGCTGCCAGCCTCACATACTCAGGACCCGGTACAGACTTAAATGCAGGGGAGGCGTGATGAACTGATGCAGCTCCGGTGTGTCAGCCTCCCCGCAGCAGCGACACAGACCACGCCCTCCTGCAAACTCTAATGTGGTTTCAGCCCTGACAGCCAGCTACCATTCAGACGATGATCAGCAGAGATATGCTTTGATGAATATGTAAGAACAGGTTGAACTGAAGTGTTTGTGATG